AAAAATGCCAATGTCTTGGGGCACCTGGGTAGTTCAGCAGGTTGAGCATCCAACTCTTGATTTCAGCTGATGTCATGATCCCAGGGTCATAGGATTGAGCCCCTCTGTGCTGAGCATGGAGCCTGCTTAAGATTCTCTTGCTCTCTCTCTGTCTGCCCCTCTCCATCTCTCCCCGACTCATACTTTCTCGCTCTAAAATTAAAAAATTAGATAAATAAATAAATAAAGTGCCAATGTCTTAAAAACAAAGACCAAGAAACTTCCAGATTAGAAATTAATCTAGATTAATACTAAATGCAAAGCATGATCCTGGATTGGATCCTGAACAAGGAAAAAAGAAGCTATAAAGCACATTATTGGGACAATTGGTGAAATGTAAATAGATTATGTAATATTATATTAATATTAAACTTCCTATTTTTGATAATGATCGTGGCTTATGAAAGTAAATGTCCTAGGTCTTAGGAAATCCAGACTGAAGTACTGAAGGGTAGAAATGCATAATGTTCAACTTATTCTCAAACAGGAGGGAAAGTATATATTCATATGTAAATATACACAAATATATAAATTTACATGTAATACAAATTTGTATTTACTTGCCATGATCATGTTGAGATTGATCTTAGCTCAGTAATGGCACTTGGGAAGGTACAAATTAGTCCTTATACCCTCTCAGGCCTGGAACTGAGGAAACTGTTGTAGAGAAATAAAAAAACAGCACTGAATTTAAGACAGAAGGTCTGGATTTGAATCCCAACTCCATTACTTACTCTCCTAACTTTATGTCTCTAGACCTCATTTTCTTCCTTCTATGGAATGGGGATGGTAATATATAACTTTTCAACACTGATTGTTAATAGGTGTGAGAAAAAATAGTAAGCCCACAGTCAATGTTCGTTGACTCTCAGCCTGTTTGCCCAGCCAGGAGCAGGCTGCAAGGTCTTCTGTGTTTCAGGCTCTTGTAACTAAAACTTAAAAGTGCATTGTTAAGGCCTTGACATTTGTAGTTGTGTAGTTTGTGCATTATTGAGCACCTCAAAGAAAGGTGCATGTCCTTCTCAGGACAAAGCCCCAAAGGCAAATTCCATGTGTACTTAGCCTCATCAAGGTTTACATAATTGTTCTTTTGGAGATCAAGCAGAAAGTTTAATGTTAAAGCAGCTTGGGTTGATTTCAAGTTCACCTTTAACATGCTTGTTCACTTCTGTTCTGCTTCTCAGGGAATACAGCTAGGCCTTGGGCAATAGTGACTTAAGATGGACATGGGATCCATTTTGTTAGGTTTGTTTTTTTTGTTTTTTTGGTTTTTTGTTTTAATTTTAGTTAGTTTACATACAGTGCAATTTTGGTTTCAGGAGTAGAATTCAGTGCTGCATCACTTACATACAACACCCAGTGCTCATCACAAGTGCCCTCCTTAGTACCCATCACCCCTCTAGCCCATCTCCCATCCAAGGAATCTGTTTTCATTACAGAATATTCTTCTGCTTCTAAGAAAGGAGAGGAAAGCCTTAGACCAGTGTATATTGACCAAAAATAAATGGAGTATTCCAGGGCTATTTTATCCTTAACATTCTTTCCACTTTCTTTGGAGACCAAGAGTTAAAGAGAAAAAAATATTTAGAACCAATAGTTTGGAAACAATGTCCTCCAAAGAAGACAGCTAAATGGTACCCTGAAATGTTCGGTATCATTGTCGGGAGGCTTTTTCCTGTGAGGGCTCCTTAATCATCTCTGCCCTCTGCAAGTGTCTGAGGACGATGTTGAGGGCATTTTGGGTCAGCCTGAGCTGTCCAGCTCCACGGATAGGAGAAGAAGGGAAGAGGTTGGGGAGCTTGCCCCTTGTTTAGGGGGACATCTTAGCATGGGAGAAGAGAAGAAGGAAGACTAGTAAATTCACACAGACTGGCTTATATAATCCAATAACCTGGTAAAGAAGAGTATCATCCCCTTTTTATAGATGGGGAAACAAAGGCTGAGAGAAAATTAAGGTGCAGAGCCAGGATTCAAAGGTCTGTCGCCCAGTCTGTGTGCAGTGAAAACACACTGGAAGGAATTATTATTCTATGAAATCACTGGGTGAGATTAGAAGGTGAGATTCTAAGGAATTTCCAGCCCCCATTTTCTAAACTGTCTGTACATAGTTAAATTACTTTTGTACAAACCCTTGACCTTGGGGAGAAGTATATCCTGAAGCCCCACACTTTGTAAATATTTCAAGGCAGAGCAGCCCCACTGAGATGCTGGTCTGTCAGATGAGCTCACATTGTCTGGCTAAGAGAACCAGTCCCACCACACCCCCACTTACATAGCCGTGCAGCTCAAGTTTGAGCCTCAGCACAATTACAAATTGCTTTATGCCATGAGTTTTCCTGACACTTGTGAATAGTTTATACCTCTTATTTTGAAGCTAAGAATGCTAGGAATTTAAACATACAGTATTCAAAGGAAGAAAAACACATGCTTTTCTGAATTCCACTTGGCTGGACAGGTTAGCAGGATGGCCCGCAGAAGTCAGATCCCAGTTCATTCTGAGGAGAGAGACACATACAGCCTTCCCACAAGGAGCCCTGTCCGAAGAGGGAGAAAAGCAGGTGCAGGCAAGATCAGTTCAATTCATATATTCACGCAGGCAACAGATATTTACGAAATGCCTCCTGTGTGCCTGGCTCATTGGGAATACTTCAGTGAATAAGACCCACATGGCCTTTGCCCTCACAGAGCTTACTGTCTAGTGAAAAGATTTGATCCTACGCAAATATTCACACAAGTAACATATAATTACAATTAACATAAGTGCTCTGAAGGAAAAGAGAAGTACATAAAATAGGAGGACGTAATCTATTTTTGGAGGGACCCACAAAGGCTTCCCTGAAGAAGTGATACTTCAGCTGAGATAAGAAGTACTGGTGTTAGCAGGCAAATAAGGCAAAGTTTTCCAGAAAAAAA